AAAAAATAGCCGGACATTGTGGCAGGCACCTGTAGTCCCAGCTACTTAGGAGGCTGAGGCTGAGGCAAGAGTATCGCTCAAGCCCAAGAGTTTGAGGCTGCTGTGAGCTGTGACGCTATGGCACTCTACCAAGGACGACAAAGTGACACTCTTGTCTCAAATAATAATAATAATAAAATAAATAAATAAAAGGATTTGGGAACTTTCTTCTCAAGACAATCGAGTATGAAGTGAGACAGGGCACACCCTGAACTTGCATTGGTCTGCACAGACCCCAGGGAATGGTCTCAAGTTCTCTGCAGCTTTCCTTCTGCACCCCTCATCCCCATCCTAGAACAGCATTGCCAGGCCCTCTGACATCCTGCACTCTCTGAGAGCATTGTCAGAGCTGCAACACTGAGATCCAGAGACAGGACAGGTTACAGGCAGCTAGTGAAAGAGCCCCCAACCAGGCTGTCCCAAACCCTGAACCCCTCTGGCAGCTCTGAGTGGGAGCTTGGTGACTCAGACTCACTCCAGTAACTGAGAGTCTCAGGTCCCTGAGATTCCATACTCTCCTTGGAACTCGGAGGCTCTCTCAGGGATAGGCAGTGGATGGGAAGGCTGGCCCTTGCCTCTCCCATCTCTCAGACTGCTGGGACACACCTATGACTTAGTCTCAGCAGCCTACAGGGAACAGCTTTTCTGGAGCTTCAGTATTTAACCAGCCTCTGCTCATCCCCCCACTAGAGGGAGGCTCCTCCAGGAGCAGTGTTAACTCTTTCTCAGCCCAGAAGGCCTGCTGAGTTCATTAGCCACTTTGGTTGGGAGTGGTGCAAATGCGGCCAAGGTCATGACTCCATCTGAGTGCCTTGCCTGAGACCTTGGTCAGAGGTTGTGCATAAATCAGTGAGAACCCTCCTGAAAGCCAGAAAAACTAAGCTGGTCCCTAGAGACTTAATGCAGCTCCTAGAAGGGCTTATTAGGCACCCAGGTAGCTGTGGGGAGGAGCAGGGAGAGAATCATCCCCAATCCTGGTTGTCAGAGGAAGACATGGCTGGTTCCCCAAGCTGGGCATTGGAACGGTTCTCTCCTGGACCTACCTCCAGAGCTACCACTGGGCAGAGCAGGCAGGTGGGTTCTGGCCTCCCAATTAACCACAGCTTTCACTTCCTGAGCAGCACCCCGCTGGCTGGAGAGGGTGGGGGTGCAAGGCAGAGCCAGACTCCCAGGGGGCCTGTAGGAGGCACTCAGCCTGGGAAGAGCTCTTGGTAATAGCCAAGCCCCTTCCCCTGAGGCCCTGGGGAGGATTAGTGCTTGGGCAATTCCGGCTCCCCAGGCCGAGGTAAAAGCCATTACCCACTCTGATGCGCTTGGAGCTGGAGGGGCGCTCCTCAGCCGTGTGGTCCCGTCTGCCTCCCCAGGTCCTTGTCAGCCTCCAGCCAGACTCTCCCCAGGCTGCACTGAGGTTCATCTCCTCCGATCCCCACCTCTGCCCAGAACACCCACCATGGGAACACCTGCCAGGAGGAGGCCACATGTGCTGCTGCTGGCCGCTGTAACCCTGATCTCTTCTCCAGGTAAGAGGGGTCATCTGGCCTGCAAAGCCTAACAGGGATGGTCATATAGTTACATCATTGCTGTGATTTTGGTGAAGATTACAGAAATAACTGACTTCTGCATTTCTTGTAGCACCTCGATTTCTGAGGCCATCTCCTCTCTAAAGTGTTCCCGATTATGGATGTAACTTTCCCTGTGAGGTTAGGAAGGGGAATACATCTTTGCCATGTTATAGATGAAGGAATAATGGCCCAGAGTGGATAAATGGCTTGCGCTGGGTCACACAGCAAGATTATGACACAATCTGATCCCTATACCAACAGCCAGAGACACAGCCTCCACGGCTGATGGTCCAGTATGGTAGGCAATAGCCACACGGGGCTCCCATGTGGCAGATTCACGTCAATTTTAGGAATGCTTTCCCCAGTGG